TGTTCTTTCAGACCTACGAACTATAGGTGCCAATGGAGTAGACTCTACAACTCTTTGTAGATCTAATTGAGGTTCCTCATGAACTGGAACACCTCTTGTGGCACAATAACTTCTTCGAGGTTTACCTTACTCCCACTGGTTCCTTTAGTAAGAAACTCTTTCTCTAAAAAGACACCATTTCGAGCAACAAACACTTTGTTCTCTGATGGATTGTAAAAGTAATATCCTTTCATTTCTTTAGGATATCCGACAAAGAAGCATTTATCAGATTTGGGTCCAAGCTTATCAGAAAGTAAACGTTTTACATAGGCTTCACAACCCCAAATCTTTAGAAAAGACATACTAGGAACTTTTCCTGTCCACATCTCATATGGTGTCTTCTCTACAGCTTTTGATGGACTTCTATTTAGTGTAAACGCACTGTCTCGAGTGCATATCCCCGTAAAGATAATGGAAGATCTGAATGACTCATCATTGATCGAACCATGTCTAACAAAGTTCGATTTCTCCTCTCAGAGACACCATTCCACTGTGGTGTTCCAGGGGGAGAGAGCTGTGAAACAATTCCACACTCTTTGAGATGGTCATTGAACTCTTGGCTTAAATATTCTCCTCCTCGATCAGATCGAAGAGCCTTGATATTCTTGCCAAGTTGATTCTGTACTTCATTCTGAAATTCCTTGAACTTTTCAAAGGAGTCGGATTTATGTTTCATCAAGTAAACATATCCATATCTACTGAAATCATCAGTAAATGTAATGAAGTACTGATAACCTCCTCTGGCTGTAGAACTTAGTGGTCCACACACATCAGTATGTATAAGGGCCAATAATTCTTTTGTCCTCTCACTTTGATTAGTAAAAGGAGCTTTTGTCATTTTTCCAACTAAACAAGATTCACATGTATCAAATGATTCAAAATCAAATGAATTTAATAGTCCATCGCTATGAAGCTTGTGAATTCGTTTCTCGTTTATGTGGCCTAATCGACAATGCCATACGTAGGTTGGATTCAAATCATTAGATTTAAACCTTTTTGTATTTATATTATAGATTGGCACATCAAGACTTAGAACATATATCCCATCCACAATATGGGCGCTACCATAAAATAATCCATTAAGATAAAACGAACAACTATTGTTCTTTATATCAAAACAGAAACCTTCCTTGTCCAAACAAGAAACAGAAATAATATTCCTACGTATAGCAGGTACATAGTAGCAATTATTCAGTTCTAAAAACATGCCAGAAGGTAAAACTACATCATATGTTCCTACGGCTAATGCAGCAACTCTTGCTCCATTCCCAACACGTAGCTCCACTTCACCTTTTGTAAGTGTTTTACTTCGTTTTAGTCCCTGCACATTCATACAAATGTGAGTACCACAACCGGTATCCAATACCCATGAAGTAGAACTAGTAGTAACATTTACTTCTATAACATAAATACCTGAATCGGAAGTCTCACTTCCTTTTTTCTTCAGATCCTCCAAATATTTCTTGCAATTCCTCTTCCAATGTCCATTCTCCCCACAATGGAAGCATACAGCATCAGCAGTCGGACCCGGTTTGGTCTTGGATTTGGGTTTAGGCTTAGTGCCCTTGCCCTTACCCTTGATCTTACCTGGCTTCTTAAAGCCTTTCCCCTTTTGAACCATGAGAACATTAGGGGTAGGGTCCTTCTTGATATTCTGCTTAGCAGTTTTGAGCATCCCATGCAGTTCAGTCAAAGACTTATTCAGATTATGCATATTATAGTTCATAACAAACGTGTCATAATCTTGAGGCAATGACTGAAGAATAATGTGAGTAGCCAACTCTTGGCTAATGGGAGAGCCCAGTCGCTCCAGGTTTTCAATATAACCTATCATCTTTATGACATGTGGGCTAAATGAGCTCCCACTTGCTAGCTTGCACTCAATTAATGTCTTTACCGTTTGGTACCTTTCAGTGCGTGCTTGCTCCTGAAACAAAATTTTCAGGTTCATGATCATATCATAGGCATCCACGTTCTCAAACTGCTTCTGAAGGTCTGAGTTCATGGTAGCTAACATTAGACATGATGCATCCAATGCATCAATCTTTATGCTTCTGATAAGCATTCCTTTCAGCATGGGGAGCGTTGGAAGGAGGTGCCTTCTGAGGGATTGGTTTCTCCAGGACATAATCCTTTTTCTCCTGCTTGAGAACAATTCTCAAGCTTCTATACCAGTCCAAGAAGTTTGAACCATTCAATTTGTCCTTCTCAAGGACAGATCGCAGTGAAATGTGTGATGCAGAGCTATTTGCCATTATCTACAACAAATATGCAAAGTGAATTGTTCATTAATATTACTTATAATAAACTCCCACTATACTTTTATAATATATGTCACAATAAGTATAGTGGACCAAGACCCATATTTTACCAAGACTCGAGTAAACTTTGGCTTACCGCTCAAGACTAAGTTATTTAGGTAAACAATCCTTTGTCAATTGTATCGAATACAACTCTTGGTTGTTGGGGTTGATATCTCATATCATATCCCCAAACACTATGCCTCAAGGCCTAAAACCGTTTTGATAGCCTCGTTAAGTAAACCAATCTTGACATATGGATAACCATTATCCATCCTATTTTACTCAAATAGTTAAAGACACCCTGCTTTGGCAGGCCCATCTTTTGACGATTCAAGTCTTAATAGGTGTATGATTGGAAAGGCATCATATTATTACTTAATTTTATGAGGGACTCTTAATAATTACGTAGTGGTGAATGTATGCATGTTCTGAACATCAACAAAGCATCACTTATAATAACAAAGATATATCAATCATACGGGAACGATCAATTCCATGCAGGGGTCAAGGGAGCTGCGCCCCCTTGCGGGGTCGAGGGGCAGCACCCCTCGCGGGGTCAAGGGGTAGCGCCCCTCGTGGGGGCTCGGGGGCAGCGCCCCCGAAACCTAGACATAATTCTCAATTCTGTTTTCCGGGAGAGCCCCGAAAACATAGACAGAAGTCTCACTTCTGTGTTCTCGGGAGACTATCCATCGCTGTCACCTCCCGCGCCGTCACCGTACGCATCTGGCCGAGCGCCTCGAGTCCTCGACGTTCCGGATGACCAGGCGCGTTGCCGTCTCCGCCTCGGGCAACAGACCCAGACGCGCCGCCGTCTTCGCCCGCCATCTCCGCCTCGGGCAATAGGCCCAGATGCGCCGCCGTCTCCGCCTACCGTCTTCGCCCGCCGTCTCCACCTCGGGCAACAGCCCAGGCACGAGCGGAACAAGATCGATCCATCCCTGCTTCGTTCCTTCTCAATTGATCATATCAATTCGTATTTTAAATTCATCTAACCCTAATTGAGACTCACTTCAGGCATACATCATATGTATCAACAATTAGGGTTTCCAATTCAACTTCAATATATCACAAGCAGCTCTGATACCACTGTAGGGTTCATCAATGAAAAACAACGCAGTGGAATATAGAACCCTAGACAGGATCTATGTGTATATTGAAATCGAGACGGAAGTTCGATACGTACCTTTTGCAAATCGAAGATAAATCGGCAACCGATTGTGTCTGGATTAGCGCCCCAAGTGTTGCGCCTCTACCGGTATCCACACACACGAACGGAATTCTCCAACGATCCACGTGCTAGCGAAAGATCTTGAAGTTCCTTTTTCTTGAACGCCTTTTGCTTTTCGATACTCTGTCGAAAAACCCTAGACAGAGAACGATTCTCTATCTATTTATACAGCCTCATTATCTAGCGGAATTAAAAGAAGTGGGCCGGGCTATTTGGGCCCGCCAAACCGTCCACTTTCAATCGTACGTTTAATCGTTATCTCATAACGCGCACGACCGCATAGATAATTTAAATAAGAGAATAAATTAAAATCTACTTCTTAAGTAGATCAAGGCGCATAGACAATATTAAGTCCGTTCGCTATTGTGTGTGACCCTGTAGGTTCACTAAATATTAGCAGTGTGCCCAAAACTCTTTTGGCCCACAAGTCATAAGCAGTCTCTAGCAACACATTATGACTACCTAAGTATAGTGAAGATCGGTTTTCCGACACAACCTAATCCACAACTAATATTAGAGTATCAACCTTGATTGATTCTTAGGGCAGACCACTAACAGATTTTGTTGGGAGAACAATAACAATCTGAATAATATCGGATTAGCGTAACGAAATAAAATAATCTCCCCTCTTGTGCAAATCTAATAGGAAACGACTGAATCGAGGAATATAAATACCAAGCACGTAAACACAAGGCGATTTTTTATGTGGAAAACCTCATCGGTGTGAGGAGATCAAAAACCACGGGATCGGAGTCCACCCAAAAATGTTCACTATCAGCAAAATTGGGTGAACAAAGTTCTTCTCTAGTAAATACTAAAGGTACATAGCCATAAAAACATCAAGAACATCATTCTTGGCAATAGACATGAACTTCACAAGAGATAAAAGGATAAATCTCACCAAAAACGCACTTTTGGTGCAATCCACGAAAACCTGATGTAGGGAGCTTCAACTGAAAATCAAACCGTTCAAATTCGAGAAGAATGTGGCACGAACACGTTGACAAAAACTCAGCTCAATCGGACCACGAATTGACCTCCGACGTCAACATCAGATATATTCTCAAACTCAGGTTTTCTGCTCTCCCTTTCTCTCTTGTTACTGTATCTCTCAAAAACGTTCTCTTTGCGGCCACGACATAATAATAGTGAGAAACCCTATTTCTCCATATGGATAGACATATGGGCTCAAGTCTTGGGCTTGCAATACATTGGACTTTCTCCACATGGGAGTGAACCCAGCCAACAGTTTAAACGGGTCAATGATTTGAGCATCCACTTAAAGTTTAACACATTGATCATTTTATTAAGATATATTTCAATCAGTTGTCCTAGCATTACTCATTCGTATGAGGAGATACAAGCAGCGTTCTATCTAAATCACCGCAAAAATGTGTCCTCATCACTTGTTAGTAGTGAACGCTTAATGACAGCTAATTAGTACTGCCACACAGGACAAAGCTTAAAAAAGAGCAAAAAACAAAGTACTCTCACAGCATCATTGTTACATTGATTGCGCATAGCTACCCACGAAATTACATTGAATACATATATATTGTGACTGGGATAATCAAATCAGACTAAATTTTCCTGGCTGGCTTTCATCTGGATGGAAAGATAGACCAAGACCCTAGTGAGAGAGAAATAGATAAATATAGAAGTAAGCTATTGATCACATGATTAAGCTCCTAATAATGGCAGCTTCTGCACTATCGGCATCAACAGTGGACAATAGCTGCGACAGTCGCTCGCTGAGGTCGTTGACCTCCCTATGCAAGCTTCTGATGTAGCTACACGTCTCTTGCAACACCTTTGAAGCTGAAACCTACATAACAGCGGGAAAGCATCAGCATCGGCATCGGCATCGGCATCGGCATCGGCATCGGCATCGGCTTCGGCATCGGCATCGGCATCGGTAATCGAATTATGGTACGGCTTAAGATGGCACCTTTTGCGACCATTTCTGACAGAAGTTAAAGTTCCAACCGAGCCATTTTCGATGACTTGGACGAGTCTTGGGTCTTTCATTTCTTTAGTGCTCGTGGAATTTGTTTACTCATGTTCACACACGCCGATATGTGTGTGTATCATTAGACAACCACAAGTCTCGACTGTTTAAGTCAAACGTGGGATGGTTAGATTAGATATGAAAATGCATTTCCTTGGTATTTGGACTGATATTTTAGGCGGACCTAGAAATGTGTTCAGTGAGTTAAAAAATGTTAGGCGAGTTAATAAATTTCATTTGCCTGCATTTATGCTTAGCGTTTCTCAATTTCCCTGACAGAAGACCCTGAATTTCATAAATTTTCTCAACACCCCGTCCCCCCCCCCAAAAAAAAAAAAAACCCATCGTTGTGGAAACCTTTCTTTCCAACATAATAATTTGGTATCAGCTCGCCATATTACAGTTGGGTCAGACATAAAGATAGGACATGAAAGTACCTTGTCGGAGCGGCTATTGCGAATCTCGGGAAGGAGCTGGCGGAGCTTGGAGACGAGTTCAATCATCTGATCATCGGTGATTCTCGAGGAAGTACCTGACTGCGTCCTCGACGACCTTCGGTTAGACATTCTTGGTAGAAAAAAGTTGAGAAACTAACCCTGATGAACAAAGCTGAAAAGAGAAGATGCAGGAGTCTTGGGTTCGAGGAGAGGAAGGAGATAGGAAGGAGGCGAAGAAGAGGGAAAGTTCAAGAGTCATTATATAGCCTATGAATGCACTGGAGTAGAAAGTGATGAACGGAAGACGGTGGACCACAAGTGTAAGTAAAAAAGAATCCACCAATAGAGAGAGAGACAGAGAAGGTACATTAACAAAGACAGCCATGTTGGATTTGATGAAGACAAATACACAGAGAGAGTACATTAACAAAGACAGCCATGTTGGATTTGATGAAGACAAATACATTGGGAGCAGAGGTCAATGCTTTGGTCCTAATTGTGTGAGTACGCGAGCGGGAGAGGGTTGGAGAGTTCATCAATAATGTTAGAAAGTACTCTCGCGTGAAGCATGCACAAAGTTGTTTACAAAAAGTACATTAAGCTTAGGGTTAATATCACAAAAAACTCCAAACTGATACACATATGACAAATTTACCCAAACTAATTTTTTAATCACTAAAAACCCTAAACCGATACATTTGTGACAAATTTATCCTCATTTAGTTTCCGTTAAATTTTACCGTCAAATTACCGAGTTAGATGACACGTGACAATTTACGGGTATATTAGTTTTGTTACAGATGTATTAGTTTGTGGTATTTCGTGGTATTAATCTAATCAAACGGAAACTAATAAAAGGTAAATTTGTTGCAAATGTACCAATTTGAGGTTTATGATGGTAAAAAAATAAGTATGGGGTAAATTTGTCACAAGTGTACTAATTTGGAGTTTCGTAGTATTAACCCTTAAACTTATTAATAAATCTTACTAAAATTCTATCCCTAAGTAATGTGGACATATTCAATTGGATGCTAAAATAAGTGAGACCCAGGCATTAAATGATTTGCTTGCTTAACATCCAAAAGGATAGCATCATATTACTTAGAACGAGAGTGATAGTAAGATTATTTAGTATGCTTATATTATCACTCTTAAACTTAGATATGCTAGCCATTTTCTTCATAGGCCTTATCTAAAATTTATTACGATATTTTCTATAGCATACTCTTTTAAAAACCTTGAGAGAGTTGTTTTAGTGATGATTTTTTGTTCATTTTTGTAATTGCTCAAATATTATTTTGTAACATGCTATTGGACCGGCTACATGTACCAAATTTTATCACTTTAACCCCTTCAAATGCCTATTTAGGGAGCGTTTGTTCCACGAAAAATGAATGATTTGGAAAATTTTCATCGTCCAAAAAAACATTTATGGATAAATTGTTGCCGATAATGAAAACAAATTCCATTGACTAATTATTTCAAGCGAATAACTGATCATTTTGAGGAAAATGGTTTTCAAATACTTGATTTTCGAAAAGCAGAACGAAGAAAATTTAATCGTCCTCAAAAATGTTCTGACATAAATTGTTGTCGAAAACAAAAACATTTTCTATTGACTAATTAGTTCAAGTGACATGAGCGATTATTTTTTAATTTTTTTTAAATCATTAATTTTTCACTAAAAGTCTTAATGTTAATTAAACATCTCTTATGAAAACCATAACGATGAACTGTGATTGCAGTAGAAACCATATAATTTTAGAGAGACAGATCTGCGAATTCCCAAGTTGGGTCGGGAGCCAAGTGGGTTTGGGAGACGTGTGTTCTTGAGCTAACAAGGTGGGGCCTTCATGTGTATACCTCAATAAACACGTCCACGTGATCGAACGCGGATGAATTCTTCTCTCCAAGTTTTGCTTCTCTGCATCGAGTCTCACCAGCAAGATCGCAGATTGCCACTCTCGACTAAGGCTCTGAAAGTGCTGAGTAAAGAGCACTCGCGTTAAGAGCTTCGGATGCTGCTGACATGTCGCGTTCTGATTGGTTGCGGTGCGAAGATCGTTCGAGACATCGTTTCGGGTCAAGTGATGATACCTTGTATCGGTATCACTCCTGTTGTATCCAAAGATATCTTCGACTGGCAATAATAATTGTAGCAATAAAATGATTTTTAAAAAAAGAACAGTAATTGATCCTTGGGCCAACAAATACGATGGATTGAAAGCCTCCGAAATTAGGGAAATAAGTTTACATCTCAAATTTAATCCTCTTTGACGAGTCACGTATTAACATCTTAAATTGAGGGTTCAGATGCATCCATATTGGCCAAAATACTTGTAGATTTGGCCCTGCCTCTGTTGTAAAACCACAACGACCAAACAAACTGAACCACAGGTTATCTCCCCTCTCTCCCTCTCTACTCAACTCGGAGCTGGTCTGATGCTGCCTCGGTCGCTCGCTTTTTAGACCAAGAAGACCCCCGGCGTGCCGGTTGCCATCGCCCAGCTACTTGCCCTCTCTTTTCCTTTGTCGCTCGGCCCCGTCCTCCTCCATTGCACCGCTCACCACCACCATGCTGCGGGCGACTCCGGCGGTCGCTCACATGCAAATCGATTGCCTCACATTCCAAGGAGAGAGAGAGAGAGAGAGAGAGAGTGACGTGGTCGAGGAGGTATAGCACCGAAGGTTGACGGCTAGAGGCGCGCCGGTGAGGGCTAGCAATGGCTGCGATGTTCTATGCAATCGTTGAGCTTGGTGGGAGGGAGGAAGAAGACAAAGAAGGGAGAGAGTGATAGAGGGGAAAATTTACAAAAAAATACAATATAAAGTAAAATATAGAGATGGTCCTGAGCAGGACCTTAAAAGGCTCAAGGGGAAAATATGGGGAAGGGACTCCCCGTTATGATGGAGGGACTCCCCGGTATGGTGGAGGCTCGTCCACATGTTTTCTCCGTATTTCCTCCCTCCGGGGAAGACAAATATATTGAGGAAACATGAGACCTCTTGGGTGGTGAAGGCAGACACAACGTCAACTTCGGTTGGCTATTTCCAGGTAGGCAGATATAGTAGCCTCCTGCACCTGAGATAACAAGAGGGGAAGCCTCAGCTTCCAGCACATCTGCTTGTGCTTCGCACAAGTCTATCAACCAACTGGCAGACCTCAGGTTTTCTCCCCTCTCTCCCTCTCTACTTAGCTCGGAGCTGGCCTGATGCCGCCTCGGTTGCTCACTTTTCGGACTGAGAAGACCCCCGACATGCTGGTTGCCATCGCCTAGCTACTTGCCGTCTCTTTTCCTTTGTCGCTCAGCCCCGTCCTCCTCCATTGCATCGCTCACCACCACCATACCGCCGGCGACTCCGGCGTACGCTCACATGTAGATCGATTGCCTCACATTCCATGGAGAGAGAGAGAGAGAGAGAGAGAGAGAGAGAGAGAGAGAGAGAGAGAGAGAGAGAGAGAGAGAGAGAGAGAGAGAGAGATGTGGCCGAGGAGGTATAGCATCGAAGGTTGACGGCTAGAGACGCACCGGTGAGGGCTAGCAACGGCTGCGATCTTCTATGCAATCGTTGAGCTTGGCGGGAGGGACGAAGAATACAAAGAAGGGAGAGAGCAACAGAGGGGAAAATTGATGGGTTTTGTGAATAAATGGGCTGCCCATGATGGGCTAACCTAGCCCATTAACCTTGAAAGAGCCCATGAAAGAAAATAACCGCAAATGGCAATTATTTGGTGAGAACAAAAGTGAAGAAAAAAAATTGACGTGTGTTCTGTAAGTGAATTTGGTTCACTATCAGAAACTCTCACTTACAAAAAACCTAAAAGCGACTTTACTCGACAATCGAAGGATCGCTCTCTCTCGAGACTACAATAGGTGCATTTAATCTGTGGCAAAGAGGTATGTTCGTTTACGTAATATGCTCCGTTCGATCGGTGATTCAAGTATAGGATGAACACATTTTCCGCGTTTTGCAATGTGTTTTAGAGAATGTGTTTCCCGTTTTTCCGCATTATGTTTAGGAATCGGTTTCCTACATTGGTATCAGAGCATGCATTCTTGTTTCCTAATAGTTTAACGTGTTTATAAAATGGAATGTTGGCCGGAATTCGTGAAACAGCGCCGACGAACGCTTGGGTACGAAAAACCGACACCCGACCGTACTGTTCGAGGTTGTTTCTCGATTTTGTGCATCAAAATTTATTTTTGAAAGTGTAGGATCGTAGTGCTCGTCGAGACGAGAAAAATGACGGGTGGCACGCCTCCAGGGGAGGCCGGACGCGCCTCCACGCGCCGCTGCAAGTGGCGGCTTGCCGGCACATGCGCAGCGGTTACCGTGCGCACGTGCGCTGCACACGCCAAGCATGCGCATGTCGACGTGGCTGACGTTAGCGTGACGTCAACCACGCCGGTTATTTCGGCCCGGCTCGGCCCGACCCGGAAGCCCGGCCCGGTTGGTCCGATCCGACCCATTTTTTCGTCCCGATGACCTGACCTGTGGACTCGTTTGACCTGTGGACCTGACCCAGTCATCCGTTAACCGTTGACTACCGTTGATCGGCGTTGACTATCGAAATTTTTTTTTTGCTGATCATGTACTTTAAGGATTATGTGTAATCCTGTTTGGTTCTGCATTTGTTGCATGAACAATGTCGCCCCGTAGGATGCGCATACCTATTATCTCACAATCGGCTGAACAAAAGGCAAGACTTGCAGCATTGAGAGCTGAGTTAGATGCTGATCGATGGGAAAGTGGTGATTTAGAGAATCACGTGGTCAAGGTCAATAAGATGATACAGAAAATCATCTGGAATGGTTATTGTATGCCGAACTTTGAGAAGTTGAATGTTCTAATCAACACTCTTCCATCTGAATGGAAAAAGGTGTTGCATCGCCTATGGGAGGTCAACGTGGTCCCAACCTACAAAAAACTTGCAATAGATTTTGTGAGGGAATACTATAGGATTGAGACAACAAAGACTTCAACCCTAGGAATGAATGGAACTTGGCGAAAAATGAATGTGCCATGGAGAAATCCTAAGGGATACCCGACAGTCTTTTCTTGGTTGTCAAAGAAAGAGATTAAGTTTCCTAAGAAATTTGAAAAATCATTCCCTGTTTATAGGAAAGTTAGGTATCGTTGATTTCATAGATGTTTTAGGTTGGTTTTAGATGTCCTAGGTGAATATTTCTTTTCATGTTGATATTCATGTTTTTTTCCTATGATGGATTCGTTCCTCATGTAAATAGTTTT